AAGAAACAGAGGGGAGGAGGGAACAGCTGACACAAGACGAATGTTGGAATTAACTGCAGAGACCAAAACAGTTTTTTGTAACAGTTTGTAAACATGTTAATTTCTACATTCTACCAGTGTTCCCACGAGGCTCCCGAACAATCTGCCCGAGTTAATCAGGTCAGCCGAGTCAGTGATGTCTTTTAAATCTCTTCCTAACACAGACTTTAATCAGAGAGCTGCTCCTGATGCTACTGGAGCTGTGAGTTCATTCAAAGTGTTTTTATACGTCTGGTCTGTTTTAATTATTGACATGTAAATAACTGTGTAACTCTGTTCTGAGAGGCACTTCATAAATAAATATATTATTATTATTATTGTTAATATTATTAATAATATTATTATTATCAGGGCCCGAGCACCGACCTGAGTGCTGAAGGCATTAATATGATTTCATTATTTTTCCTTGAAGTAAATCACCTTTTTGGGGGTTTTAACATACTTGAAAACGCGCCATTTTTGTGTAAACTTCAGTTGCTGTGTAAATTCACATCTGATTGGCAAAAATGCTAACCGTCCACGAAATGCAGAAAAATCAGTACACGTGTATCATGTCCAGGTGCAAAAACCAGTCTCTTGGACCTGTTACGTTTCCCCACGTGTTGTATTTTAACAGACTCCTCCGACAGTTTTAATCTGATGGCCTTCAAAATTGGTTTGTGAAAGCTTGACTACTTTGTGATCAAAAATTATTATCATCATCATTATAATTACTATTATTATTATTATCATCATTATTATTGTTATTATTATTGGGGCGGCAGTAGCTCAGTCCATAGGGACTTGGGTTGGGAACCGGAGGGTCGCCTGTTAGAGTCCCCGTCCGGACCAAAATATGGAGCGTGGACTGGTGGCTGGAGAGGTGCCAGTTCACCTCCCAGGCACTGCCGAGGTGCCCCTGAGCAAGGCACTGAACCCCCCAACTGCCCGGAGCGCCTGTCATGGGCAGCCCCACTCTGACATCTCTCCACTTAGTGCATGTATAGGTCCAGTTTGTGCATGTGTGTTTTCGGACCTGTGTGTAATTGACAAGCAAGAGTGAAAACATTGAATTTCCCCTCAGGGGGATTAATAAAGTAAATATATATATATATATATTATTATTATACATGTGTCTGTGGGGACTGACTCACTCCTGGAGCCAGCCTCCAGTGGACATTAGAGGAACTGCAGGTTAATTTTTCAGCCAGGAAGTTTCTGCTATGAAACTGTTCTTCACCAACATTAATGACAACAACAACAACAACAACAATCCTTAAAGCACTTCACAGAGACATTGAAGACAATCAGGAAAACAAGCTGATGGACAGTGAACGTGTTCAGGTGTTACCTGCTCCAGGTGTTTGGTCCAGCTGTAATAAGAACAGATGATGTAATGTTTGAACCTGTGACTGTCAGTCTCCGTGGTCACTGTGCTCTCTGCATTTATTCATGGAGCCTCTGAAAGTTTAATCGTGCAGCTCCATTAATCTGTGAGCCAGTTTTAAAAGCAAGAATTAAAGATTCATCCCCCCCACCCCACCCCCACCCCCGACACTGAAATATTTATGTGTGCTGAATCACTGGACGAGAGGAGGAGACCCCTCACTGCATCACGGACTGTAACAGCTGCACTGTAACACACACACACATCACAGTCATACTGCTGCAGATACATTTATATTATTATTCAGATCAAGTCTGAAACAACAGGTGAGAAACACCGAGCAGGTGTGTCTGAGATTCATCAGTACAACCCGTCATGATCTGTTCTCTATTCTGCTAATTAATGTAACACTTCCTGTGGAGATATTTCACAGTAAAAGCCTTTAAGTGGCTCAAAGGAAACATTTATTCAGCTGAGTCATGTCGACATCATCTGGGTACGAAACAAAAAATACAAGAATCATTCAACAACGTCAGCTTCATCAAATACGATGATACTTCAAGAGCTGCATTTAAGGACACCTTATTCCTCATATAGGTGTGACGAGTCAGAACAAGTGTTTTCCAATATCAGCAGTAAATAATGATATGCTAACCCTCTTTCATAAAGTGACTGTGGAACACCCCGTCTGTTACACATCAGACAGGATAACATGATTATACCTCGGTCATCTCTGACCGCCAGCTCAAAGCGCTGGTTGGTTTCATTTTTGACCAAGCGTGTTAGTGATTGGCTCCCCTTGCTACATTAACATATTGTTATAATTTTGTGGAGTCGGAGCTGGTTTACAACAAACATTTACTCCCTCATTTGCTGTAACCACTTATCCTGTTGGGGTCACAGGGGGGCGGAGCCTATCCCAGCTGACACTGGGCGAGAGGCAGGGTTGGACAGGTCGCCAGACTATCACAGGACTGACACATAGAGACAGACAACCATTCACACCTACGGACAATTTAGAGTCACCAGTTAACCTGCATGTCTTTGGACTGTGGGAGGAAGCTGGAGCACCTGGAGGAAACCCACGCTGACACAGGGAGAACATGTCAGAGCACCTGGAGGAAACCCACGCTGACACAGGGAGAACATGTCAGAGCACCTGGAGGAAACCCACGCTGACACAGGGAGAACATGT